AGTCAGGACACGTAATTATTAAATGTGTACTATTTATATATTTCTCATGATTTAAAATCCCACTCGGGATATGTAGTCGTAGGTGGGAGGACAGTACTAAATGGACCTTACAGAAATAAGATATGCGGATGGAAAATGTATTCAACCGGTTAAGGACAAAGTCCAATTGTAAGCTCTGGTGAACATTATAACAAACCTTCGGGTTTCATAAAAAGAAATATAATTTCTTGACTAGCTGGGTAACTATTACGTTCCCATGAAAACCTGTGTTTCGTGTCGTTAGAACAGAGTTTCATTACAACAAAATATACATTTGATTTTGTGCTGAGAAGTCAGCACTGTTATAAAGGAAAAAATTATCTGAGCAGGCCAGCATCAAGGCAATACTGACCTATATGATAAGGGAGGAGGTGGCTCTGATCACGAAACCTTTGTTATTCAAATGCGTCCATGTTCATGTCAAGGTAATCGGCCACTGGGCGGGAAAACAGTGCCACGATGTGCATCCTGTTTCTCAGTTGGCACGTTTCGAAAATCTCGCCCAATTAGGCTCGCCACTTTTACTTTTATGCTTTACAAGTTCGTAATATCTGTCAGTTTTTCGAAACGTCAACCACGAACAAATTACACAAGGGACAATGCGCAATTTGTATTCTTCACCTGATATTGCTTCATTATAAATGACAAATAGAGGGCACATGAACGGAGCAGATCGTAACCTACTTTTAATTTCGGTACTTTTCTAGAATTTGCTTGGAGGGCCTGAAATAAACAATTAAAGTAGTTCAAATGCATCTTCGACGTATAGAGATTCGAACCTTGACTTCCCGAATACTAGGCAAGAGTTACAGCTACTCGTTCAATACAACAGCAACGTTTGGTTCAGTGCAACATAGTTTTTTTTTAAAATTAATAATGATAAGTACCAGAATTTACCAATACCCTGACGAGCTGTGTATTAAGACCCAGCACCATGGGGTAACAAATACACGTCTCTGCAGGCCTACTGCATGAAACATTTCTGACTTCACATCGTGCCCAAAGTGCAAGGCTGTAAGATGAATTACTTCCGGCTATGAAATCGGACTTATTCACGTCCCAATTCTTTGTGTGGTAGCAGCAACTACTGAAGCCTTATACGTTTTCTTTGGAGGATGACTCGGCTCACAGCGGGGGTTCCCCTACTTCAAGAATAGCACATTGGCTTTGATCGCTCTCTGCATGGAAAGTATACGCAAATATCACGTTACTCCGCACTATCGCAATGTGAGATCCAGACTTCAGGAACCCTGCCGTGAACTGGGCTGTAAAACGTTATCTCCACGTCCTGTAAGCTATGCAACCCTTTCTGGAGCTGGAATCGCCAATACCAATCGCAAGTTGAGGTCGCAAGTTTCGAACCCTTGAGAACGCATGCTGAGTTCTGCGATGACAGAGACTTTTATAGCAGTTTTATTGTATACAGATAAAGTTAATTTTTCTCCAGACCAGAATGCTTAATTGAAAAGAAAAAAGCATTAGTTGGAGGGATGAGTAAAATTATTAAAAACCTCAGAATAACCTGCCTCCAGGCCTAGATATGAACTAGAGACCTACCGAATGAGAAGCAGTAACAGATACACTATCTAGCCGCCCACAATGTTGTCTCTTTGTTAATGTTTTCTGTTACGTAATATTATCCTCCCATGTTGATCTGTGTCTTCACAGTGGGCTGTTTCCTTGAAGATTTCAGGAAATAATATTGTATGCATTTATCAACACCACATGCGTGCTACGTGTTTTGTCTATAGTATCCTTGATTAAATTACGCTAACGTTGTTACATGATTCTACAATTTCTAAAGTTTACATCGATATTGTCCCAACATATATGCACTGTTTATAACTGTGCGTATTATGCATGTACCTTCACAAATCTGTCATTTCAAAATATGTATTATAAACATCCGCCTTTGGCATAGCGCATTTTAAAGTTCCGAAGAATTAGACTTAGCAACTTTTGTTACGCCTGCAATAAAATAATGTTTTTTTAAAATTTAACTCGTCGAGTTAAAATAATCAATCTGTATTATTATCAAACATTCATGCGTTACTTTATGCATTCCCGAAAACCCATCTCAGAAGACTGCTATTTTTCAAAAATAGGTCGCCTTACAAATTTTAGGACCCTACATCGAATGAAACTGACATTATTCCCCTGACTCGGACAAGTTCGCCATGTTGGTATTGTTAGTGACCGTTGAACAAATTGTACGGAGTTCATGCCCAGTTTAAAAAATAGTTCTGCAACATGATACGATCGCTGAGAATGAATTTAGTCGATTCCCTATAAACTGAAAAAAAAGTCAACGCGTACACTGCGCCTGAAGATACAGCAGAATACGAGGCTTACGATATTCTGTAATTAAATATAAAAATACCCACAAATTATCGTGACACAAAAAGTGTTTTTCTACCAGTAGCAAAATAATACATCGATTCCATCCTCCGAGTCCCATATTATTACCCACACATACACAGAAACAATAGTAAAAGAAATCTCAAGACCGCGATTTGCGTGTCTCACTGCCGCCTAGAATAACTTAACATAATCTAGTAGCCTTGTGTCTGCTTATCAGCTGATCCAGTATCGACCGACTCAAGTCTTCACGCGAATTAGCCCCAGTGACTGTCTACACATCCTCCTCCTCGCTCTGGACCGGGCCAAATGTCTTCGTGGTTGCTTCTGTGGTGTTATAAAAAACAACAATTTTCGGGACAAAATAAACAAACTTTAGATGTCTGTGCAGCAATATTATTTAACTCGGTACTTCACGATATCACTAAATCGAAAGCTGTGAGCTTTAGTGACACAGCTCGGCTTTATATTTTAAGAAGAATGTGTTCTTCACTTGGCCCTAAGTTCTGCAGCACGACATAGTAATGGCGCCAGAATGATACGTGTATAAAGAGTGTCCAAAAGAAGCACTTCGGAAGTCACTTGTCAGTCTAACGGTAGTCATTTTGAACATCTATATTAGAATCACCAAGTGCCAATTCTGACGTATGTAATGATTTAATTTATTTAAATGTCTCTGCTTCATTCACTGAATGTGTGTATAAATCCTTTTGGGACACAATGCATTTGTCTGGTTCAAAAAAAGAGATGATCTTGTTTGACAGGGACCGTACATAAATCGACTTCTATGTTGTGAAACCTGGCTGGTAGGTACAAACGAAAACGAACATTGCCGTCATATGCAGCCACCAGCGTCTGGCAAGGCGTGGTCTTGGGCGTCCGCCGAATTGTACGTACTGAGACTAAATGAAAATCAGTATAACGAAATGTCGCCTTCGTTTACAGGTTTCCGTATCACTGCGTTGCTTATTTGCGGTAAAATTATTGTTGTAATAGGCTATCGTACAACGCGGCGTAGGTCCCTCGCTCTTTCACGGTCGCACTTCCACAGCCCACGTCTGCCCGCTTGCCTCAGAAGCTACATAGATCGTGCTGCATTGACTTGGACTGTAATTTTCAGTACTGGCCGTTGACCTTGTGTTAGATAATCCTGATAAATTTCACCCACACACACACACACACCGACGTCTTCCCAACGAACAGAAAAACAAATATTTGAACGCTTATTAATCATTAATGTTCGTATTCAATATCATGTTTTTCGTGTATTTGGTCCCCCCAACCACATTATTTTCATAAGGTGTGAACTTCGCACATCGCGGATATTTGCCGTTCGCGGGGTTTACAAGAAATACCCCCCCCCCCCGGGAGAAAGGCAATAATAGACTAGACTGTGATATTTTTCCGATTCAAGTCGAATGAATTCCGTCACTGGGCAAGCGAGATGATTCAAAATGACTTAATGTGAAGTATCTGATGGGTAATTAAAAATGCTTTATTCAAAACTGGTGGTTAATCAGCCATATCGCAAAGTTAATACGATTCGTGACAAAGCCAATGAAAATCCAAACTCAAAATTTGGGCATCTAAAATTCTACAATACCTACGATTTAATTTTTTAAAAAATAAGTAAGTAATACAAGCAAACACAAATAAATATGTAATATTAGCTGATAATGTTAGTTGAGACTCAGAAGGAAAAAAAAATTGCTTTCTTACGTCTATAATTAAAGTCGTAAAATGTTTCCTTAATAATTCTAACTCCATTGCGTGTTGTTTTGTAGGGCAATGGGACAGAGACAGCCCAAGTTCAGGGGGTGGACGGGGAGAGAGTGATGAGAAAACTGGCGATGGCGCAGTTTATTCCGGATGCCATGACTCTGCACGCACAATCCTTAAATGAATATGCAAGGGATGGGGGGGGGGAGGACATTCTGTTTAAAAATAATAGCAAACATCCTTGACGCAGTTAAACTATTCCAGACAAAAACAACAGCGGAAAGACCAGCGCTGCTCCAATCGGAGCGATTTGGTATAAGCCACTTCACTGTTTGATTTATTTATTACAGAACATCTACTGTTGTAAAGAAAATCATAATAAACATTACAAAGGCCACAAATTATTTTTTATTGTTAATTCAGAATATCGAACAAATGTTTCACAGGAAGTTATATTCTTCTTCTTCCTGTGGCTCTACAACCCAGTGTGGGTCTTCGCCGCCTACTTTCTAAGCTTTCTTAGTCTCAAGGAAGTAATATACCGTAAGGAAATAACATATATTTGTTATGTTATGCAGTATTCTTTTACGATGAGCGTTTTTTCTTCTTCAGAAAATCGATTAACTATTGCGGCTTACACAACGTAGGACCGAACCCAAGTCAAAAGTAAATCTTGGAAGAAAAAATGATACCCAGAGTACGAACAGCGTATATTCTGTAATCGATCACGCGATTCCTCGTTGTTGGTACAGTTTCTGCGACGTGTAATTAATAACTGTCGCAGGGCGCCGCCACCAGAACGACGAGCTCCGTGCAGCTCGAAATTTGCATACCTATCAACAAACTTGCAGAAGGGCTGTATTCATTTACCAAAGAATACTAACCTTGACATGTCTCAGCACCGATGAATTAGAAGAGAAGAGAACTTCGAGTACAGCAATCCTTCACCAACCGCGCGGTTGCGTTTCTGAAAACACCGCGGTTGGCAGCTCAAACGTCTTATTGGAAACCGGTTAGGGCAACTGCGGCCGTTGGTAACTATCAAACCAGTTTTCTGTCCCTTCGTACATACACAATAAGTTTTTAATAACAGGTACAAAATAACAGACATAATGAGTCTCAAAAATACACGAAACACTGGGGTAATATTGAAACCATAAAACTGATTTCGGATGTTATTACAGCCTCAGAAACTGTAGGTCTCTTCGTGCTAAAGGAATGGATTTTTTATGTGTGAACATATTAAAAATCGCAGATACATAAATCCAATCCACACTCTCACATCCATTATATTTAAGTTCCACTTTAATATTATCTCTCCATCAGGTGTTACGATACTATTTTTAGAGTATTTCTAACCAGTCATGCGTGCTATATGCTCAACCCATCTAATCTTACCACTGGTTATTTAAAGACTGTGCCAGTTAATAATGACGAGGTTGGTGAACTATAAATTAATAAGACTGTAGACAGAAGCGGTCGTGGCCTAACTTAAGGTAGTATCTTGGCGTTTGCTTGAAGGGACTGAGGAAGACCACAAAAATATTATGTTCGTTACAGCGATCTTCGACCCGAGATTTGAAAATGCAACCTCACGATTGCGAAACAAGAATATTAGCAACGTTGAGCCTCATCTCATTTTTCTTCATTTAATTACCACAAAAATGTACAAAAGACTAAGTTACATAAATTCTGGGAATATGTTTTATAAAACAACGTGTTAAAACGCTTGTATCTGTGTGTTTTATATGCAGTCACAACGAAAACCACCGCCCCAGAACCCTGGTCTTCGGCAGTGCGAGGTTGGGGGTTCCAAGCCTTGAAAAGAAATGTTCTTCTGACCCGGAACTGGGAGCTAGAGCCACTGTCATCGGTAACGAGAGTGGCTTCCCTGCAGGGCTCACTGTCGATGAGCTCGGTCAGTACCGCCGACGTCGTCCTCCTAGCAACCTGCGTCCTAAGGACAATCTGCGGCCAGAAGAAGGGTCTCTCAAATCAATTACATCGGAATATACAAGAAGGTTTCTTCCACATCCTTTCCTTCCCACTGACAAGGAGCATTACTTCGGCGAGGACCACCTCACTCAAATGTTGGGGACCTCCGAAGGATCTCTAGTGACAGCGGTGAACATAGACAGAGAAGGAGAGCATCAGGTTTTGGTCAAGAAAGGTCGCAGAAGACGAAAAAGACCTGAAGACGACCTCAAGCTGGAAGGTGGATTGTTTCTCAGGCCTGAATATTATGATACTTTCGTAGATTTCCCGCGTCAACGACCCAAAGTTATTAGACCTCGCACACACATAAATTCAGAAAATCATCGCCAGCTTCCGATGTCTCTGTTAACAGAGAACAATGCGCAGTATGTGGTCTTCGAATCTGCGAAAAGACCTGAACTTGCCCGAAGGCCAACTACTCTGCGTACCGAAGGTGATGTATTAGTGAAAGAGTCGGAAATACGCTCGCGGTATGGTCCACATGAAGGAGCCAAAAGGCCTGATCTCGCACGGCGTAACACTAGTCTTAGAACGGAGGGTGATATGGATACGGTAACGGAACACAAGGAGAAATACGTGGAATTTACAGACGCGCGTCGTGCGGAGCTGTCTAGAAGGGCTACACAACTTAATCTAGAAGGCGAGATGTATACATTAACTGAAAACAGCGAGAACTATATTTATTTATCGTCACCCAAAAGATCGGAGCTTAAGAGAAGGCCAACTAATCTGAAGCTAGAAGGACAGATGGAAAATGTAACGGAAAATATGGATAATTTTATAAAATTTCTTGGAGGCAAGAGAGCAGAGATGTTGAAGAGGTCAAATAATCTTACTTTAGAAGGGGGTGTAGAATATATGCCAGAGTATAATGACATGTTTAGAGATTTCCCAAGGGAAAGACCTGTTATAAGAAGACCACCGGTGAATTTAAAGCAAGAAGGAGAACTGTATATTACCACCGAGAAAAAATCTCAGTTTATAGATTATTTATCCAAAAGCAAAAGGCCGGATCTTGCAAGAAAACCAACAAACTTAACTCTTGAAGGTGAAATAGAATCAAAACCGGAATACAGGGATTCATATGTTGATTTTCCTAGGCACAGACCGAAAGTAAAGAAGCCAGATACATCTCTAAAACCAGAAGGCGTCATTGAAAATATTACTGAGAAAGAGGCTCAATTCGTCCCATTTTCAAACAGCGGCAGATCTGCGATTGTAAAGAGACCACCAGCAACTCTACGTCTCGAAGGAAAAATGAATACAAATCCCGAATACAGAGAATCGTTTACAGATTTCCCTAGAGAAAGACCTGTAGTTACGAAGCCTGCAGGGCATCTTCAGCATGACCCCAACACCTTACTCCTTCTAGCCGACGAACCGTTCAAAAAGCCTAGATGTCCTAGTCCACAACCTGAATATAACCTTCGCTCAGAGGGCAGAATAGATAAAAATCCGGAATACAGATCTTCTTATGTAGATTTGCCTAAAGAAAAGTCAGTCACAAGACGACCTCAGGGTCAGTTGAAGCGTCTGAACGGAAATTTTAGAGTGGCCGATACCCACACGCCCAGGGCCCAATCTGAAAGAAGGCACGGAGGAGTGTCTGGAGTATCTGACGAGGTGGAATCCAGGAGGACTTATGTGGATTACACATCACGTGACAGGACTCCTAGCAGGAGGAGGCCAGTGGATAATCTCAAAGTACAAGGAACTTCGTCACTAGTAGACGCAATAAGCAGCCCTCGGGCGTCTAGAAGACTTAACGTTTCAAAAAGAGTAGTTCCTACGGCAATAAACTGCTCTGGAGCTTACAACACGCTATCCAAAGACGAGCCAAGGCCCGGGGAGAAGACTGTGACGTTCGAGTATGGAGACGGCCGACCGAGAACTTGCCCGTGAGTGAGGACCTGTGTTCTAACGCTATACGAGAGATGTATTGATAAGGGGGAGTAGTGTAAGACCAATGTTTAAACTGGACTCATCTGTTCTGTTCAATAGCGACCGTCAATACATTACCTGACTCCATGGTACCAAAACCCGAATGTTCAGTATATCGCTAACAAAATCCCGCCACTGGACACGATTCTAGGCAAGTAGGGTTTGAGGTTTTCATGGCGGTAAGCCCGAAGAGGGCTGTTTTATGGGTTGTAGCATTGTGTAGTCTGGTAGAAGTTTACCAACGTTTCAGAGGTATTTGCTGCCTTCATCATCAGGGCAATAGCAGCAAAAGAAGACAACCATCTATGAGTCTAAGTAGTTCTTCCTGCCTCCCAGCTTAAGAATCTGTTTCCGAAAGAAGTGTCAGCACATAAAAGTCTACTGCCACCACGAAGTAGATGTCACGTTGAGAAGCTAACATCTGCCCAGCTAGTCAAAAATTCGTTACCCCGTTCACAAAAACCTGCCACCCCGTCACTATCCTCATCCAAATAAATTAAGTACTAGCCTTTGCACACCCAGTTCTTCGAAGACTCATTTCAATATTATATTACAAATGGAACATTATCTTCAGGTCTTCCTGCCAAAATTCTGAATGCATTTCTCATCTATCCCATGCGTGCTACTTGCTCCGTCCACCTCATAAATAAAGCTAACAAAAACGAAATAAATCATAAAATTAACCTTGTTTCTAGTAATGACGTTCTACAAATAATATAATGTTAAAACAAACATGAATCAGTCGCCAGAGCCTCGTTCGTGAGGTCAGAGTGCAGAAGTGAGTATGGGTTATGGAAACCACCATCTATGAAGAATTTGCTCGGAATTTAAAATCACCTCAGTTGCTTAAATACGAATCGGAATTTAAAAAAACTGGTAGTGGTTTAAAAGTTGTGTATGAAGCATCAATCAGAAAAGAGCAAGGAATCGGGTCCGGGAATAACTTTGCGGAATAGACGTTATTATGAAAATTCATAAATAACTACCTTTTTGGCCTACTCTAAATCATGCCGGATCAAAGATGAAAGTCGTAACTAAGGACCGATGGTATGACAATATGCTCCTGGATATTTTTGGCCCAGGAATTAAGATTAGCTCCAATGGACCAATGTTACTAAAATGTGTAGTTTTACCAAATAAAGTAACTTCGTATTTTTATAACATTTTAAATCAACAGACGAAGGAAAATACCAAACAATGTGCACCAGTTTACTTTTACGTATTACTCAGCCATTGTTTCAGAAAACCAATCACTGATGAGATATCTAACGCTGCTCTTACCTGAGCAATCTTTCAATATCTGGTTTAACTTCTGTTGTTGAGATTCCCATGCATCAACCCAAGCGTCCATCTAGTTCTTGTGGCTCTTCATTAAGCAGGCAATTGTTTACAGAGATCGATATTCCCAAATACTGATTGCATTAATAAGATGTCCTCTCTCTCATCAAGGAATTATTGTTCAACACGCAGGTTAACACAATAGGTCTCAGAAAAAATGTACGCGGACCTCACAAAACATCGGAAGGTCGCGGGATGAGAATCCGTGACATAACGCAATGCATTAAATAAACACACGGTCTAGTATTTAAACTTGTGACATCTGTTCAATAGGTGGAACAACATGAAAGTCGCTTCGAGACGAGATGGAAGCAAGCAGTCGGAGGATCTGTTGGCCACAGACACAGGAAGTACCGAACCGACATTCAAATTACATGTCATGAATGTGGACGAAACGTGTGACGAAAATGATGACTTTGCCCGCAGGCGACGACGGGGAAGACGACGTCAATCTTCCAGGAGTTCACCTCCGCACCCCATTCTGTCGACGTCCATTGTTTCGTCGAGGGCACCATCTCCCGAAGTTGCACATCAATGTTAGTATCAGATAACGCGGTATTCACAAGAGCCTGACACTACAGCTATCCTGAAAAAGCCTAGTTCACACCCTCCCATCTAGTAATACGATTAATTGTACGTATGCCTAAGTATTCCTGGTGGTTTCTTCCCTTCTGGGTTTGCAAACATAAATGAAAGTAGTGTTCTTATTTACTTACGGTTGATTAAGGATGGTATCAACAGCTCAGATCACGTGATGTTGACTTACAGGATAAAAAGCAATGAATTTGAAAGTATGTGGTTGCAATCACTTGTGATTGGATTTAATGTACCAGAACTTTTCTCACATTTGTCTGGAAGGACTGAAGAAAATCACAATAAGCCTCAGGATAGCCAATCTCTGGGCTCCAAATGATGCACATCTTTCCAAAATTGGGTCTAAAACTTGCCATGACTGCTTGCAGCAATTCAGACTATTTGGACCGAATAAAATTTTACACAGTTAAGTAACTGTAGTTTCTGGTATACGAATATCTCAGTGACTTCATCTCAACTCATTCTAACAGCTAAATAAGCTGAATTAACAGAAGTTTGGTTTGCCTTCTTCCAGTTCCGACGCATCGAGTGCAGTACCCACTGCACCAAATGGAGCATAACAACAATCAAGCATTCGTGGTTTTGGACGACCTCAACAACAACAGCCACTTCTCTCATGCACCCACAGCAATTCCTCGCAGCAACTTCTTGGACATACCGCCCAACAAACAGCAGCCACGGCATGGCCGTGGCCATGTCAACTGGATGCCGTCATGGCATGATAACCCCACTTCCATATGAACAAATAACCACTTTCCGGTCTATAAAATTGTCAACAAACAAATAAAGAACTTTACATTAAAACTCTAACATGCCACTTTAAAATGGACTTCTCCACATCGACTTGGTGCTACTCTGTTAAAATATAACTTTACTTGAATGCCACCTTCGTGGATTGACCTTGCATGTTGTTGGAGGTTCCCCGATAAAGTTTTTCTTAATTTTAATGTAAGTAATTCATTATAAAATGATCTCACATTCAGTGGTATAAAAATATATTTATTCTAGAATTATAATCCTGTCCCCAAAAAAGACAGTTGTGTTACTACACTCGTAGTAATAGCTCCAAAACCTTTGGATAGGGAAATAAATAAATGGAGAATACTGTAATGCAAATACTTTGGTTGGTACCTAAACTTATCTAGACTGAGGAACCCTGTAAAATGCTCTTATATATTAATTAAATCTCCGGGAATGGCATTTTACTATATTAATTAACTGTCTCTGGAATTCAAAACAAACTTTCTTTCCTCTCAGAAGGGAAATTATTTGTGGGAGCACACGTAAAGGTTCTGTTGTTCAGAGACTGGCAAGTCAAGCTAATGTCTGATGGGAAAGAAAATGAGACATTTTCAGAAAATGATCATTATAGGTGGGACTTTACATAAACTGTTTTATCAAGAAGGAAAATTTGGGAACCACTGCTTTACGCTGAAAATACAATGCAATGGATGTTATTAAATACTGAGCGATGCTGAAATAATATTTCAGAGTAATTGTATGTTACAAGCGTTACTTAAATTATCATGACTGTTATAAAAATGTGCTTTAGATTTATATGAATGTCATGTACTTCAGCGAGATGAGCTTCGTAGTGGCCAGTTTAACAAAAAAATGAGAGGCGATTGGCAGGTGTTAAGTAAGTACCAGGCACTGAAATGGCATCTGATTTTCAGTGAGTAATATTTTAAATACGCTCTTCGCTTATGTTCAGAAATCATCAATATTTTGAAGATTAAACTTCATGTCCTGTGAAATATCACAAATTTATTTTTAAAAAACGCACATTGGTGTAGACCTCTTTGGAGAACAGATGGAGGATGATATTATGGACGATTAGAATTTGTGTTGGCCCCTGACATAAAATACAGGACTTTTCCATTTTTCTACAGATCCTACAAACAAATTTAAGTTCATTCACACTTAAAATAATGATCCCTGCTGGGGAAGACAACTATAACCAACAAAAACAGAAAGTAACTAACAAAATCATTAAGTACGCTTAGTTTTGCACTTTTAAATTAACCAATGACGTAAACACAGCTCTGTGTAATAAAATATTTTCGAAGAGGACATCTGAGATTGACACTTCAATTGAAATCTGTTTGGTAGTTTTGAAGGCACACACATCTGATCTCACTATTATGAGTTCATTTTTGAACTTTGTACAGGGAAAGGCATGATGCAGTAATGTAATTGTGGAAAATCAAAATCTTTTGAAGACAATTAAAAAAGTTATACACCAATATCACAGAAGAGTATCTTGTTTTCAACTGTTTATCTCTACGTACTGAAAGAAGTTAACTTGAAATAACCAAGGCTATTCAAAATCAGTAACAAGACTAAGAGAAATATGTGGCATTTTGTTAACTGCTTTACCAATTTCATGTGTGTCCGTCATTTTCCTCTAAGCGGTCATGAAATGAGCTTGATGTAGTCAGTTAAATATTACATATCCCTCCATACCCCCCCCCCCCCCCAAAAAAAAAAAATGCAGAAATATAAAGAAGCAACTACACTGCCATTTCCTTTGAAAATTCTTAAAGTAAGTTTGTGTACAAAGGGCAAAGTGTGTTTCAGAAGATAACTTTGAGATGCCCCTTTATTGCATATTTCACTGCAAGCTACCTCTATACGTTGAAGGAACTGTAAGGAGCTTATAATTTGTGTTTATGGTGAAGTTTTTGTAAATTAAAATTATTGTTGTAACTGTTGTGGTTATTACTTGACAGATGATTACATTTAGTGTCAAAAGTATTGTTTACATGTTAATCGTTGATTTGCATAGCCTAATATATGAAGAATGTATGAAAAAATTTATTTTTTATATTTTGCTTTATTTCTTTATATCATCCTCCACTTTCACACATTTTTACCACCATAGACCCAAATGCATAACAGATGTTTTCAAACTCCATCAAGAAATGACAGGCATTTGCTGGGCCTACTCATTGTAATCAAACTCCTGACCCTTCAACAACTCTTTCAGAATCCTGAAGAGATATAAATCAATGTTAACGAAGCATATATTACGAACTATTACCGAATCATTTCTCAGATTATTTACTCAAGAACTTTGCTTGTTCCGGAATACAGGTCTGAATATGAGAAGGCAATACGACTCGAGTTAACAAGGTAACAGCATAACAGGACTGGGCCCCAAACTTACACGCACTTTCTGAGACGAATTTAGGGGATGAAAAATGAAGGAGGGAGAAATCGTTCAACTGAATATTACACTCTTACGAATGCTAAATATAAACCAAACACACATGCTAAAGCTCAACCATCTTTGGCTTTTTAAATAGCAGTCACATTTTTCGTATGCTACTACAGCGTTTGGCAGATCCCACATAAATTAATTTTCATTGCGTTTAGATTAAAGCAAACTGATTGCACATTCCCCCCCCACCCAAAAAAATAAATTAGAAAAATACATGGTGCTGTCTGTTCAGTACATGCCGTTTCCTTCCTTACGCCGTCAACTGATTAGGTTATGTAACATCAAAAATGCACGTGGGTTGACAGAAACAAATGTCATTTCCATCTTACCTGAAGAATCTTCTGTAAACTCCTTTCTCAAACTTATTATTGTTTATATTAACAACACCGGCCTTCACTATCTTAAATTGTCCTGTACAGAAATATATTAAAACACTTTTAAACTTCAATGACAGTTTTTCCACCACCCACACAGCGGACCATTCACAAAATGGCGCAACCATTGCATGGGTCTGGAGATTTAAAAAAAAATAGAACAGAGAACGGAACAGAGGAGAAGCAAAGTGGCTGGCTACAGACTGGAAAATCCATTGTCGATTTCCGGTAGGGGCACCACATTCAGATCATCTCCTGACCTCCTTTCTACTTGCACTCCCATCCTTTTCCTGAGGATAAAACGGTGGGAGCGTGAATTTCAATTGTTGATGCTATTAAGTAAACCACGAAAACAAATTTCGTTAAAAATGGTAAAGAATCGGTTTTCCAACGTCGTTTCCAATGGCATCTGAATGATCACCTGATGTAAATTGGCGTCTTTTCGAGACGACATGACGCTTGGCATCGGTTTTCAAACGTCGTGTACGATGACATCCCGATGTTCACTAAGAATGAACAACATTCTGTAGTACATTTTTCATGGTATGAAACAGCGAAAGGGGAGAAGTATATGATACTGATAATTAATTGGCTGCTGAGGGCGGACAAAACTGTTTGCCACAATGAACCATTCATGAGTGAATGAAAATGTTTAAAAGTGGTTGATCAAGTGCTGATGATGCAGACAGGTTGGGATGACTATTCACATTCACATATAAACAAAACACTGCACACTGAGGGTGCAAGTTTGCCAATGAAAAATTGACGGCTTCATATGCAGCTAAAAAGAATTCTTCTCTCAGCAGAAATACAGTCTAGTGCCTTGATGGAACAAGTGCATCAAAATGCAGAAAAAATGTAAAAAAATCATGAATATGGCGTCTTTGCATCAGCATCAGTTGTAACTTTTTTTTTAATCTCCCTCAAACACCTGCAAATTGTTCATTACAATTATTATTGCTATTGGAAGTGGCTAATACACTTAAAGATGTAAAGGTTCAGAATGACTGATTTATACAAGACTATAAAAGAAATTCGAAGATTGTGAAGAATGTGTTCAGTCTATTCCTTTGTGGCTGAAGTAGAGAGCACAAGAGCAGGAAACATGTTTGATGATCTTATAGACAGCTGACCATGTTAGTGAAAGTACGTCAAGCAGAAACAAAGGAAAAGGAAAGTCAGAATAAATGATAGTTGCTCTATTTTTCTGGATATTAGGTTGCTAGGAGAGGTGGTCTAGTTCAGGGGTCGTCAACCTTGTCCCTACCGCCCACTAGTGGACGATTCAAGCTTTCATGGTGGGCGGTGGCGGTTTTTGTCCGTTGTTACAAATTTTGTTCTTCCTCCATATATCAAATACATTGCCAACAACTTAGCGAGTTTGACTTTTTAAAATATGCTTTTGCAATTTACTTTTGAATTCCATCTCTAAACTTTGAATATAGATAATAATTCACCGGACACTTCTCGAAGTATACTCGTGGACGAGGGAGCAACGAATGAGCTCCGCAGCCAAAGGCACGAGTTTAGTGCGCATAACGAGGGGGCTTACCACCGGTCATCACTCAGTCTTCAAGCTGTACCTCCTTCATGGTGATGGGCAGTACGTGCGGCACCGGTGGGCGGTAAGGAAATTTTACCATCAACAAAGATACAAAAGTGGGCGGTAGGTATAAAAAGGTTGACGACCGCTGGTCTAGTTCAACAGTATGTACTGATGAAAGTGGCCAGATGGTTTACGTACAAAAGCACCAAGCTACTAAGGTAATTAAAGTGTTAAAATAAATAAATCAGACAGGGTCCTCCAAAGAAGCTTGGGAAAACTTCTGAAAAGACGGAATGATTCTCTTTTGTAATACCTGTGCTAGACCAACCACGTGTAATAATGAAATGACGACGACTTCATGATAAATATTAAGTCACTAATATGCAATAATTTTATTTTATGGAGGAAAATGGGGTAAACATCTGTAACGAAGAAATAAACTCTGTCGAAGAAAACCATACAGCATATTTACTACAATAAGAGTTACCACAGAAATATGAGTCACATGTACATAAAGTCATGGGTGTGAATATTGGACACGATATGTTAACAATACATAAAATGAATATTCCATAAAAAGTTTTCAAATTCATTTACAAGTACAAAATAATATATACGAGGGTCGCTCATTAAGTAATGCCCCACATTTTTTTTCTCAGCCAATACTGAAGATAGAAAAGTGTACTTTTACATGCTTGAGATTTGATGTTTCCCGCGTTCGTGTACGGAGTTTCAAATGATTCCAACCGATAGCGGAGCTGTAGTGAACTGTTAAAATGGCGTCTGTGAACGACTCTCGTTACAAGCAACGAGCTGTAATTGAATTCCTTGTTGCTGAAAAAGAAACGGTGGTGAACATTCATAAACGTTTGTGTGCTGTGTATGGAAGCTGTGCAGTCGATAGGAGCACCGTTGGTCGCTGGGCTAAGAGAGTTAAAGCTTCAGGAAGTGAAGAAACCGAGCTCCGTGATCTGCCGCGCTCTGGGCGTCCTGCCACAGCCACCACTCCAGACATGTTGAACCGCGCGGATGCCATTATTCGTGAGGATCGGCGCATCACAACTCGACAATTGGCCCAACAGCTTTCAGTCAGCAATGGAAGTGTGATTGCAATTATCCAGGCTCTCGCATATTCGAAGGTGTGCGCAAGATGGGTTCCACGAAGTCTCACAGCAGACCACAGGATTCAAAGGAAAACGATTTCTTCTGAATTGTTGGAGCGTTTTGATGCTGAGGGAGAGGTCTTTCTGTCCCGGATCATTACAGGTGACGAAACCTGGATACACCACTTTGAGCCAGAGACAAAAAGGCAGTCAATGGAGTGGCATCATCCTCAATCACCGAGAAAGAAGAAATTCAAGACAACTCCCTCCGCCGGAAAAGTCATGATGACTGTCTTTTGGGACAGTGATGGGGTCATTCTTGTGGATGTGATGCCAAGAGGTGCGACCATCAATTCAGACGCGTACATCAGGACCCTGAAAACCCTCAAGAAGCTTTTTCGACGAGTTCGGCCTCACAAGCATCCAGCAGAAATTTTGCTCCTGCACGACAATGCACGCCCTCACACAAGTCTGAGAACCCGGGAAGAAATCACCAAATTGGGTTGGACGGTGCTACCCCATCCCCCCTACAGTCCAGATCTGGCACCCTCCGACTTCCATCTCTTTGGGCCCCTTAAAGATGCTATCCGCGGAACAAGATTTGAAGATGACGAGAGCGTGATTCAAGCAGTGAGGACATGGCTACGTGCACAGGACAAGAGCTGGTACCGGCAAGGCATGCATGCACTTGTTCCACGCTGGCGTAAAACCGTACAAGTTGATGGGGACTATGTGGAAAAATAGTATGTGTAAAGGAAACATTGATTTATATTGTCACTAAATTTGAGTCATCTTGAATAAATATGTTCTGAGGAAAAAAATGTGGGGCATTACTTAATGAGCGACCCTCGTAAAATTAAATAAAAACTAATATAAAGTGGGAAGGCAATAAAAATATTTAACTTTTTTAAAAAATCAAAACACGTCAGTCTAAATTCTTGTCACATTAGAATATGTGATATCCTTACGAGATAGCTGTCGGTATGTAGATATGCAGGCAGTAAAACTGCTAAGCACCATAAATAATTCATAAAACAAAATAGCATGCCATACTCGCTCATGTAATAGCTTCACATTTTTTTACTTTACGAGATTTGAGGTTTACACGATGGTAAATCCAGGTTATGGTCCCTTGTATGTGGTTACCAATATTTCTGAAAAACTTCTGCCCTGAAGATGAAGGCATACAATAAGTTCTTTAAAGCATTAGTATCCACCTATGAGACTATGTGGTGTCATAACCCAGACGATCACAAAAATATTATTTTCCTCTGTTTCGTAGCTGCAAATTTGGCAGTTATTTAGCCATTCACATATAAACAACAATTAAAGTTAATACTTCAGGACTATGAAATAACTGTGGAAAAATGAACTTCAGTTTCAAATACAAAATGCTTTCAAAATGCATTCTTTGCAATTCTCTAGATCTTATTTTTATTTACACTCATTTATTGTAGTTGAAAGTGTATTGTTGACAGAGCTACCAATCAAAAGGAAGGGCGCAAACTGCGTAAATGAATAAATTACTTTTCCCTGCATTTGCTTACATACCTCACTGAAAAATGTTTCTAATTAAAGTTCCAGACGCTATACAGATCTATTTTTTGCTATAAACCAGTTTTATACAGTGAAGACACGTTTTAAAAAATTATATACAGATTAGAGCTTCATAGGGGTCATAACATAACAATATGCATTAAAATAAAATCTGCCCAGCAATTTCTGGTATAGACCTCGTACACATAACTTTATCTTAGTGATCAAGTTCTTCGAGACAAACGAAGGCAGATGGTCACGACTTTATTACGTATTCACTTAATGTACAGAGTGAAAATTATGCGCAAAAACAATAAATTGTAAGATATTGTACAAAGCAGTAAAATGAAAACAATATATGAATATATCTCACTTAACCTCTGTGGACTCTTGCTTTGGTATGTTCTTTCTCATTCCTTTCCTATTTTTAGAAGCACCTGAGTGATCGAACACGTAACAGCGTCATCTCAAGGATGAATTGCAATGCATAATTTCAATTCATTTCTTTTCTATTGTATTTACATAATAGAATTTCTGTCCCCCACAAAATAATTGTTTAACATATTCATGAGTAAATGAATCCTAGAGGGGGACAAAAAAATATTATGACATATTTAAGATGTAAAATTTCCTTTGAAGCTTCGCTCTATTGAGGCTAGCGAGAACTATAAAATAATAATTATTCAATTAATTATCTGTTCCATGGCAATAAACCTTGAGATTCACAAAAAGGTGGAGAATATGTTAAACAACTGAATAAATAACAACCATGCAAGGAACAACCTACAGTACGGAGTTTGTCCAAATATGAAATGTTATATGCACAGCACCAGAATAATGAATCTACAGAATGAACTGCAGATAAATCTCTGCAGTTTTCGGAGTTGTACTGGCTATGATTTTGCACCATTATTTTGATACTGTCAAAGTGATTATAAATTCTGCAATAATATTAAAAACTTCAATAGAATATGCAGCTCTGACCAAATAAAGTTTCTTAAGTACACATGTAACAACATGAGAAATAATTTGGATCTGTATTTCTAATGTCACCTTCTTATTTCTTTGTAGTTGCCTTTATGAACAAATGTACGTATTTAATATTTTCTATGACAAAATTTTCTGGACAATCAGTTTTGTTTTAAATTTTTATTGTAACGTATGAATTTAATTTGTGGGGGTGCTGCAAGTGTTTAGCTCAACATATCTCTTTAATGACAATGCCATTCACATAAGATAAGCAAAGAAGATAAGACTATATATCTTTTTGTAACACGGATTGTTAAAAACTGTCCCTACGATTAGCCCGTGGCCACCACATGAGCATGTATAGTAAAAATTAAAGATTAAAACTTGTAGGTACAGTGAAGTACAATAATGCAAGATCATAATTAACCAAAACATAATGATAAAAAAAATTATCAATTTGGAACCTCCACACTGATTGTATGTTCGACGACGACAATGATGTGCGTTGTTTTCCAAATTTCTTCTTCCCACTTTTAATAATGTTAAGTGTGGATAGCTACTTGTTGCTTTAAGTAGGCACCTTGGAAAAATATGCCGCACGGCAACCAACAAATGGGGGTGAGGAAGCTTTCTTCATATTCTTCTGTTCTTGCGAGCGAGACATGGAAACCAAGGATGCAACTCTCAATATCACGGATGGCACCATGTTCTCGAGGCAATAATTACATTAAAAAAAGTTAAATGTCTGACTCTGATTGACTGAGGTTGCAAATCAATATCCATTTCATTTAAGATATGACGTTTCGGCATGTTATTGTCAATACATGAAAAGGTTTGAGAGGACGAAAGGGAAGGGTAGGGTTCATAAAAACTACAGCATCTTTCTTCTTTCTTGTTATATACTTCACATCACCATCATTTAAAATATTATTTTTTTGTTCCTCTCCTAACGTACTCTTGAGTTGCCTACATTTTCCAATACAACACAACTACACAAACAATCACTTCTCTACAACACACTCTCATGCACACTCTCGAGTTGATAACGCTCCTCCAGGCAGTGGGCGGGCAGTGGGCTGGGGCCGGACGGGCACTAGCGTCAATTTGCATAGTGATCGAAGGAGCCCAAGTACTCGAGGGCGGCTCGGTAACAGAACTGATACTGATCCTGAAATTAAGCACATCACATAGAGTTAACAATCCTTAGTGAAGAAAAGAAATCAGAAGCTATTTCATAACTTATTCAAACCTAGAAAAATCAAATTACATGGTAACTTTTCATCTACTAAAATTAAATAAATAAATCCAAAACCAGGACATTAGGCCTACTTTAACCCTTCAAGCCAAAGTTCATATAAATAATATTTGACTCCATTATAAAATTAATTAGTTAATGGTGTTCAAAGAAATAATCACTGTTCAGTCTGAGAATCATATATATCCCACAGACACACTCTGGCCAAAAAGCATAGTCACCAATTGATAAAGCAGGTGTCATATGTAATTACCACTGGCATTTAAAGGGATAAAAACAATTAAATGAAACCAGAACCTTGACATTAGGCAAAATATGTAACTAAGTGCACTACAATGAAATGCTGACCATCTGTCCTGTAATAATTCTACTGAAATTCTTAGACTGTTATATAAGCTAATACCTCTGTCTGGACCATGGCTGGGCGCTGTGTGCGCAGAATGCGTACAGTTTGGAACACATCCACAACTCCTTCGTATTGCATGCGTTCCAGTACTATGCTTAATGTGATGAACACACCTGTGCGTCCCACACCAGCACTAAAACAAGCGCACACCAAATCATATTCATATGAGATTTTATTAATTTTATTTCTATTGACTCTTGTAGCTTTATATTAACAATGAAATGAGCATATTTAGGATTTTATTTTATTGCTTCTTGCTTTCCATTTCATTCAGCCAACTGTGACTATGGTGTGAGTCATCAGACCATCAAACATATTGTGCAGGAATGTCACCTGAGGGCATACCCAGGGGAACAATCGGATTTCCTCCTGGCCTCTCCACCACCACTTGAATGGATTGCCAATCTCGACCTAAAATTATAGTACTGTATTCTAGTATATTATATTTGTAATGTCCATCGTATTCTTGTATTTCATGTGTTGTAATATAGCCGTAAGATAAATAAAATTCCATTTTATTTAATTTTATGGAAATGTTGTATTAAATTACTTGTAATTATGATGAAATTATTTTTATTTCAATGACCATGTTCCACCTGCAGTGCATGGTTATTCTGCTCACAATAGTGAAACAATTTAAAAAATAATGTTTCCACAACTATAGGACCTTGCACATAACATGGCCAATTAATAAGAGTGATTACTATGTTATATGAAAATTACTCCATTTCAAATGCAGACGTTATGTAGCTGAAATGGGATCAAAAGATGTTAATGAGTGATAAATAGGGTAAGAATTCTAAAGGTGATAGTCATGGCCTATTTTATTGTACTATCCTCACACATACATGGAGAGATTCATAAAAGCCCTAAGAGACCTCAGTTAGAATAGCCAGCATCCTGGCCGAGATGGTACATCCGAAATGTAAGTCTACAGAGATACAACTGCCCAAAGGCACCGACTTCCCAGCATGGAATTACTGAAGGTTACCGAGAGACACATACCTGCAATGGACAGTAATGGGGCCATCTTGACCAAATTGCTCCTTTGTCTTGTGAACTTGACCAATGAAATCTATAAATCCATCACCAGATTTGGGCACACCTTGCTCTGGCCAGTCAATAAACTGGAACTGACGCACAGTACGTGAGCTGCCATCACGTGCATCAGTCACTTTGAACTCACGCAGTATATACTGTGGCATGTTGTATTCAGCAATGGGATCCACTACAAAGCATTGGTATCGCACTGAACGGTCACTGGGCCAGTACTGGTGGCATTTCTCCTATAAAGACATTTATATTATTAAAAAGAGACTAAGAAAGGATCCATTTATAAGTACAATACTCCACATCCTCTCTTGAAACAACTGGGATGACATTTTTCTCATATAAATATTTAGTCTGTTAATGAATTCACACTTCAAGTGCAATGCAAGAAATATTATGACTGCAAACTGCACATTGAAATGGCATCATCTTAATTAGAAACATACCTCACAAAAACAAGGTCAGAAATTTGTATTCTATGGAGTACACAAAATCCCACAGGGTTTTTTTTATGCCACACAATACTTAACTTTCTCTGAAGTCAGTGGTTCTTAACCTTTTGGTTCTTGTGGCACACCTGTGATACTTTTTGGCACACTAGAAGTACAATAGAGAACTAAAATTTATAATAAGAGTATACCAATTTTTAAGTAATGTAATTCATTGTATAAATATATAAAATTATCATAGAGCAAAAAATAATTATGTTTAACTAATTACTGAAACACTCAGTTAAGTTAATAC